ATTTTATATGTATGGGCATTTTGTCTGCATATCACATGTGTGCCTGACAGAAGAGGGTGTCAAAGCCTCTGGAACTGGGGTTTCTGATGGTTATGAGCCATCATGCGGGTGCTAGGAATTGAACCTGGGTCCCATGCAAGATCAGAAAGTGTTCTGAACTCCTAAGACATCTCTCCAGGCCAATCTTTTCTGTATTTACCTATCTTTCTCAAGCCTCCTGATACCAAATATTGCATGTATTTTCATCCACTTATTGTATCCGATTGTTTCAAAGATACTCTGAGTTTACTATAGGATGGAATGATAGAAACAATGATCAGGGTCCCATAAAGGATGGAAATAGAACACAAGTTGTTTCTTCTCTCAATAAAGAACAGCCTGAAAGGATTATGGCTCAACTGATGCCTTCCATTTTATTCTGGTCCATTCATCATGATGTTCCTACTACTCAGGGACAGAGGTGGTGTTAGAGCCCAATTATGAAGGAAACTATAGCCTTTTAACAGAAGTTTACCATAAATGATACTGCTCTGGGCCAGGTTCACATTAGTCAACTATTCTATGAAACAGGTTAAAACATTAGAAGACTATTTGGGTAAGTAGAAAGACTGGAATTCTGGTGAACTTGTTTCTAACAAGCTGTGTGGTTACAAAAGGTCACTGTCATTTGGACTTGCTTCCTCATCCAAGATAAGAGATCAGGACCAGACCCTAATTTTGATGATTGATGGAACAAGGAAAACAATATATAGAGAAATTGGCAAGAGTGGAGGATTTGGACTAAATATGAAAATGATTTCTTGGCTTGAACTGATGGGTCTATATTTGTTCTTTAAATTTAGAAGTCTATCAACAGGTGTCGATTACCCTGTAGTCGTTGATCAGATCTAACTCCAGATGATTGGAATGCCAACCTCATTTGTTTTTATAAGACTGAAGCCATCACTCTTTGAAACCAAGGGGTGCTTTGTGCGAATTGCAACTTTGACGGAGGTGGAATTAAAACAGAGTTTTCCTTTTGCAACCCAAATGTTGTGCCTAACACTACAACAGTGAAGGGCTGAGGTGCGGAGCACTTGCCTTGGGTGAAACCCCAGAAACTACCAAAGAAGTTAATAGAATCAAATACAATGAAATAGTGAGAATATTGAAATTTGCAAGGCAACTCAGGAGGCAGAAGCACATGGATCTCTGTGAGTTGCAGGACAGCCAGGTCTGTTAGACAGAGAACTCTGTCTTGAGAAAACTAAAAAGAAAAGAAAAGAAAGAAAGAAATTTGCAAGGTAGACTTCTGGGTGAGTTACTACATAGATGTAGTCAGTGACTGGTCTTTTGGTTGTATTATTTAGTCCCTGTGCTGGATAGTTTTATGTCAACTTGATGCAAGCAATAGTCATCTGAGAAGAGGGATCTTCAATTAAGAAAGATCAGGCTGTAAGGCATTTCAATTAGTGATTGATGGGCAGGGCCCAGCCCATTGTGGGTAGTGCTGCCCTGGGCTGGTGGTCCTGAGTTATCCAAGAAAGCAGGCTGCGCAAGTCATAAGCAGTAAGCCACGAACCAGTGCCCCTCCATGGCCTCTACATCACCTCCTGTCACCTGCTTGAGTCTACACAATGGGGATGTGTGAGCTAAATAAGCTCCTTCCCCTCCAAAGGGTCATGGTGTTTTATCATAGCAATAGTAATCCTAACTAAGACAGGGACAACTGCTGACTCTTGCTAGACCTAGTGATCTCTACCCTATTGCATCCTCCACTCATCTCTGTGGGAATTTTAATATGATTAAATAATCTTAATTATACACACATATTGACATCCCAGGAATCTGATGAAAGTTACCTGGCAGAAAGCATAGGTGTACATTAGCTCTAACAATCTGGACTTTGCTTAACCACAATCCATGAATGAGATGTCATCTTAAGCCTGTGTGTGTGGCCACTTAATCATGTGTGTTTCAGTTTGGCTGAGTGAACATGTTCTGTAATTTCACTTTGGTCCCCTCCAACATCCTTAGCTTTTCAAGATGACTAACAACTTCAGTCACCTCCTCACTGGCCAAGCAAAACCAGTGAGGAGTTCCTTAGAGGTAAGTCAGAGGCACGATTTAAGCATAAGAATCTCTCTAGAATCTCCAGGCTTCCACAGAAAGGCAACTCAGGAGAATGGCAGCAAAATGCAAGCCTGGGATTTCAGGACGTGGTTCCAGGAACAAAGAGTACAGAAAAGTAGAACCCAGTCACTTTTTCCAGGCCAGCTGCCTCCATAGACAACACAGTCACATGGCAATAGGCAGCACTTATGAGCATGAGAAGACGCACATTTATGGACACCACAGCGGTCGCAAGTCACAGAAGGGAGTGAGCAGATCCGTCTGTGAACACCAGTTTCCCTCTTCACCCTGCTACGACTGCACTGTACCCATGGGAGCCTAGCTTACCAGTCCAGCTAGAACTGGCTTGATTAAAATATGATGTCTTTGGCCACTAAGAGTTCTCCTGGGGAATAATGGGAAACCAGCCAAACCACACTATGTGAGCAGACAGAGTCTCTCTCCTTTCCATGTGGACATGCTCTGGCCACAGCCGCTGTCTTCCCACCAGCTCCTCTGCTCTCTGACCCATCTTCCCATGGGGCACATCTGGCTGCCTTCAACTTACTCTTCACGCCCGCTCATATGGTTATACCTGTCCTCTCTCCATGGGAATGACAATTTCGGTCAAACCCTGACAAAAACGATGCTGTTTACCATGGCCCTTTGGAAGCCTAGGAAATCAGCCGTGGACAGAGAAAACCAGAAAGGGGCTTCCTCTGTTGGCCTGTCAGTTTACCTTTTCTCATCAGTTCCCTCCTTCCCCCTCAAGGCACTTGGGAACTCTGAGCAAACCCTGCTGACTTAGTACTTGGAAAAAATCCATGTGTCAAAAATGACCACCAATTTACAAACTTCAGTCAGGAAGATTTTGTTGGTTTAGGTTTTGAGACAGAGCCTCACTGACCTTGCCTCCTGAGTGACAGGATTATAGGCATGCACCACCACACCTAGCAGAAGGGTTAATTTCTTTTAAATTCACTCAGTCGCTATTCAATAAATCCTGAGTACCTGTACATACAAGGAACTGGGCTGAGATTAAGTCAGTACTGGAGGCACATGATTGACACCTGGCAATGTCAGTCTATCCTTGAATAAGAAACCCTATTTACAATTTCCTGAAACAAGTAACCCTGGACTAGTGCAGTCAAATGAACAATAGGAACCCAGGCTATTCTCTTGCTGTAAGTAAGGAGCTTTGCTTGGTAGAAAGAGTCAGAAAACATGAGACACTGTTTATGGTCAGAGTGTCATCCTCCTTAATATAATGGGCATCACAATACCTGATTAATTTACTAGACATTGTCATATTGAAAAGCAAAAGGGATAAAGTCAGTGAGATGCCTCAGTAGTAGAGGCTCTTGCTGCCAAACCCAAAGACCTGGGCTTGTTCCCCAGGACCCACATGATGGGATATGATAATTAACTCCCATAAGTTTTCCTCTGACCTCCAGATGTGCTCCATACCCACACATGTACATACACAAAACAAATAAATAGATAATATACACAAATGAGTTTTGTAGACTATGCAGTAAAATGCATAATACATAAAACAAATTCAACCTCAGGTTTAATGAACCTTTATAAGGTTTGAGAAATAAAAGAAAGGTAGTCCCAGCTAACAAGGTTGGTCAAAAATAACTGCTTTGATTCTTCTTCAAAGTACAAGGATTTTTTTTCTGCATGTATGTATACACTACGTGTATGCAGCACCTGAAGAGGCTGAAAGAAGGCACTGGACCTCTCATGAATGGAATTATAGTTGTCTGTAAGCTACCATGTGCATACTAAGAACTGAGCCTGGGTCTCGTGGGAAAGCAACCAGTGCTCTTAACCACTGAACCATCTCTCTAGCCTTTTGAATTTGTGTGTGTGTGAATATATAATATAAATATGTATATATGACACCCATGCTCCCTCACACACACAGGCATATACCAAGTACATATATGTGCATGTGTGCTTGGGTGTGTGAAGGTACATGTCTGTCAAGTGAAGACCAGAAGACCACCTGTCCTTCCTTGCCTTGTTTGAGGCAAGGTCTCTGTTCTTCTCTACTTCAAATACCAAGTATAGTGGTTCATGAGTTTCTAGAGATTCTCTAGTTTTTCATCTCCCTAAAGTAGCACTGGGGTCACAGACAGGCCGTGGTACCAGCTTTACATGGGTCCTAGAGGTTTGAACTCGTGTCCTTATGCTTGCGTGGCAAGTAGTTCACCCACTGAGTCTTCTCCCCAGACCAATGCTCTGAATCTTAAATGGAAAAGGAACTTTTGTAAGAAACACACTTTGCAATTTAATATATAGCTTTTGTAAAAGAGAAATATTTTGGTTACAAAAACAAAAGAAGTCCATGAACTAAAACAGTTAAGCATATTGTGGTGGGAATGAAACAAAAAAAACCCCAACTTAATACTAAGATTTGCCTCCATCTCAAACTTGATTGATACATGGAGTTCTTTAAAAATTGAATATTTACTTGAGATTTCCCCAATACACTCAGAGACCTCCAGTAAATGTTATGTAAGTTTCAGAATCACCAATTTAAGAAACTTAATATTTATTTTTGAAACATCTTTCAACTATATTATATTGACTTTATAATTTTAAAAAATCTTTGATGGTAAGGGCATAAAAATTTTAAAAATCTCATAGAACTTGCAGACCCCAAGAATCCAAAGCCCACAATCTGAGAAATACTGATTTTTTTCTCTCCCTTGCCTTTTATGGGTGAAGGAACAAATGACTCTCCTAACCACACAGATGGCTCCTAGCACAATCCAGCCAGAAAGCTAGGTCGCCCGATTTCTAGAACAGTAGTTTTTCCTCCTTTAGACAAGGCCTCCTCTGTCTGCAGTGCAGCTCACTATCTGTCCCAGACAGACACTGGCTTTGTAGTAGTCCAGAGACAGGGAAACAGATGGAGGGAGCAGGTTTTAGGGGAAGTGCTGTGGGTGTGGCAGCCATCACTGCAGCTGGGCCTGTATTGGAAGGGAAGGGACTCGCATGTCCACATTCTAGTGCACATCTTTGAAACAAAGAAAAGTTAGGCAGGAAAGCACAAGCAGCTTAGAAGAGACGCATTTCTGCCTAACAAGTTTGGGCAGAAAGTTCGAAGACCGTGGTCCTGAGCTACAGGCAGGAAAGGAACTCCAGAGGTATGAGGTTATAATTCAGGGTGGCCAATTTAATCAACTCATATTCATTAAACACCCACATGCACATGAAGCTTCCAGCTTACCCTTCCCTCACACAGCAGCATCCACAGGCCTGTTTTAAAAGGGCCACCCTGTTCAGTTTGGGAATCTAGCCAGGATGTTAAAGCAACTGCTTCCCTTCCTAAGAAAAATAGGGTAGACTTACCACCATGAGTAAAGGTTAAAGCCTCTAGTTTTACATCCCATCTGAAAGCTGGGAGGGACACAGGGAATGTTTTCCAGGGTTTGTTTGTAAAACTCAGTGATATATTGAACCTTTCTGTTTCAGACTAGCAACATCCTATGCCATCTCCATTCCAGACTTTCCTGAAGTTTCCTTGGGTGAGTTCTCTCTCCTTTATCTGAGCTGACCTTGAGCGCTTATAAATATTCCCACAGAGGGAATGGAGCATTATGGCCCTTGAGTTACTCATAATTAGCCAATCAACGATGTTGAGCACTTCCAGCCCTTGGATAACAAACTCATTGCAAGGAAGGAAAGCATGTTCTTACCATGGGCAGTTTCAACTGCCAGGAATGTTTTCAGCTCGAGTGATTTACCAAGCAACTTTTGATTTCCATCTGATGAGAGGACTGACTGAAGCTGTTAGCTGAGTCTCCCTAAGAGGCAGCTTTGGCAACCTTCTGGTAATAGGTGGTCTCTGAACGCTGGAGAGCCAAGCAGCACATCATTCTACTCCCTGTCCAAGGGTGTTGGCAGGTGTGGTGATTTTCCAAGAAATCGCTAATACTTCTGCAGGTTGTGTCCACAACATGGCACATGGGATCATTAGGAAAGACTGAAAAGCTGCCCTGACACCAGGCTCTTCTCTTATATGATGCTATCCACTGGTAAAGATCTCATGAAACCGAGTGTAAGACCCCAGGTATTCAAATTATAGTTTATAACACAAAGCATAAAGTAGGCGTTCAACCAAATACTGTTGTGCACTGTGTGGTTTAGGGAGTAAGGTAGGTTCAAGAGGTAGTAGACTCACAAAAAAAGAGGTAGGATGGCTGATATGCAGGGGTTGTGAGTATCTCCAAAGATAAGACCAGGGAAAATGGTTGTTTCTAAGACAGTTAGAAATATGAGCTACAAAATAAAATACCTTTACAGTTTGTAAAATCTTTATGAGTCTCTATTAGTTCTGCCATGGGTATACATGAAATGAGCAGGTTTATGTCTCTCTAGTTCAGGAGTAGCCAGGCGTCTTCATTATTAATGACTGGAACCTCACCAATGTGCTGCAAGCATCATCTCACTCCCCACTCCAAGTTAACCTTTATTTTAAACTTGGTGGCTTTCATTTAAGCTCATGCCAACACTTCAGAAACCCTACCAAATTTATATAGATTAAGACTCTGCAAGCCAATATAAGGCCCACAATTCTGTTATATCTCTTGGTTCTGTCACCTAATTCCTTAACTCATTCAACAAATATTTACCAAGTGCCAATTACATATGCCAAGCAAAGACACAAAGATTAGGGAAGCAGTCATGAGTGAGACAGACCTGTATTTGTAAGTGATGGGTGCTGTGACTGTGAAAGGGTCCCTGTGGGTGAAGTGGAGGGGATCCTGGACATATAACTAACTGATGGTCACACTAAAGGCCAGGCATGAGGTTTGGGAAGGCACTCTGAAAGCTGATCATTGGTGGCGTACACCTTTAATCCCAGCACTCGGAAGGCAGAGGCAGGCAGATCTCTGTGAGTTCGAGACCAGCTTGGACTATAAGAGCTAGTTCCAGGACAGGCTTGAAAGCTACACAGAGAAACCCTGTCTCAAAAACCAAAAACAAACAAACAAAAAAAGAAAGTACTATGGAGAGAGACAAAGGTGACGATAGAGAGAAGATTCAGCACAATGATAAGAGTTGTCAATGAGGAAACAAAAGCATTATTATTTAATTATTACAGTTTGTTTTCTAGATAGACCCAAACCTTCCAATATGCAGAGGAAAGGAGGATCTACAAACAAAAATGTAATCAATAATGAAAATTTGGAAAGTGCTGCTTCAGTTGGCCCTTAAGGGAGTAGGAAGGGGGCATTCAGTGTTAACCATCACACATGCACAGATCAGAGACACTCTTGAATTAGACAAGGTGATGCCCTTCTCTGAGGGCAGAGACAGGATCATCATGCAAATTTCAGGCTAGTTAGGGATTCATGGTAAAAACATTGTCCCCTCCCTAAAAAAGGAAAAAGACCCCTGCTTCTGCCTCTTGAAGTGCTGTTCCCTGCCATCAGCCACAGCTTTACCACACCTTTAAGCAGGGAGTGCTAATTTTTGGTTGCTGAAGCAGCTTCATCTCCACTAACCTTTACACACCATGACTATGTCAGTTTTTCCAAGCAGGAGAAATGGATGGAAAGCCAGGCCACATCTTAATAAGGCCCTGGTGAGCTAATGGGTGTGATTATTTCATTGTCTCGGATTCATGCCAGCCCAGGCTCATCAGATACAGGCACAATCCAGGAGAAACATGACCTCACTTTTGACATGGGGCTGTGCGCACAGATGCCAGCAGGAATTTAGCGATCCCTCAGCGCAGGTAAAACTCAACTCTTTATGGTTCCAGCTAATGAGAAGCACACCAAAGTTACCTAAAACAGTAAAGCTAATATTGACATTAGCGTGCTAGATATGTTAGGGTAAGGGAAGCCAGGAAAAACTGCTGAGGCCATCTGTGCTAAGTGTGTCGCATCTATAATGAGGCACATAGTTAAGATAAATTGCCATCTCTTTAAATGATTAAGTACCAGCTTTATGAAAAGCTATAGCCCTACCAGGACCACAGGGCTGTTAAGTGGGTTAAGGCTGCAAAGGTGAGAATCTCAAAATTCTAGTTGTGTCACAAACTGTTCATTGACTTGCAAAGCCTTTGCCAAGGTAACTTTTGTGTCTCAGTTTCCCCAAACAACAGAATAACAATTCCATTACTTAAACTGCACAGCTGTGAGGACAGCAGAGTTCTGTAGATCAGGAACATGTGTGTTTTCATGGTTGAATTCACAGACCCTTCCCAAAGTAGCATCCCAACATCTACTAGAAGACACCAGGAAGTACGATCCAAGGCTCCAAGCATTCTAATTGCACCTCAGAGCATGCTTGCTCACTATTCATACAATATTTCCTCCTGAACATCTAATATACCAGAATCATTCCCTGTTGTGGGCACGAGAGATATAATATTCTGGGATCTGGGATTTAGTTCACTGGTATAAAACAAAACAAACAAACCCAAGGGAAAAAGCAGACTTCTTTCCTGATCTTTTGGGACCTAGAGTTTGCTGAAGAGGCAGTACTAAAGTTGAGATTTACTCTTGTTTTGAGACAGGGTTTCTCTCCGTAACAGTCCTAGCTGTCCTGGAACTCACTCTATAGACCAGGCTGGACTGGAACTCACAGAGATCTGCCTGCCTCTGCCTGCCGGGTGCTGGAATTAAAGATGTGCGTCACCACCACTCAGCTGGATTGTCATTCTTTCAGAGACTCCAGAAGAAAATATAATGTTATCACCCTTAATGTCACTATTTCTTCTTAATTACCCACCAGCCTTGTGCTTTCTAGTTCCCAAATATGAAGCAGGGATCTTCAAATAATGGAATCCTAATTAACACTAGCAAATCTAAATATGTTCTGGGAAGTTCTCCAGCGACACCGTTCTTCTCTCAACTTACTGTTGGGTCTGTAGTACACGCAGATGGGAGAGCCAAGAGCTCTTGCACAGCTGAAAGAGAGGCATCGTCTGGGCTAGTCTCATTCTCTCACACATTCTTCCCCTTAGAGAACCCAAACAATCCTTTTCCAGGATTGCTTCTACATTTCCTGATTTATTTCCCAGCTTCCATCTGATTCCAGCCCCAGGCAAGTCTATGTAAATTTCTAAAAGTGTAAATTAAATCATGTCTATCTCTGTTTTAAAATCTGTACCATGTTTAGAGGAAAATTCCAAGTCTTCCCCTGGCTTTACACACCCCAGCTCAGGTTCTACAGATCTTAGCCTTTTAAAGTCAACTTATTAGCCATACTAAGTGGTTGAAAATATAAAAATAGATATCCAAAGGAGGTTTAAAGTTGTTAGGAATCACAAGTGGATGCTATTATTATTGCTATTTTTGCTGATAGAACAGTTACTCTTTTATGGTGGGTTTTAAATATTTTATCCTAAACATAAACTATAATTCCTGCCCATGTCTATTTATCTTTATAGACAGATTCTGTTACAGGTGAATACTTTCATTTTTGTTAATATGGTCAAGCATTAATTTCCTGCTATATATTTAACTTTGTGTTTTCCCCTTCTGGATGTAGATGTCCTTTGCAGGAAATAGCAGCTGTGCCACTAAGCCTGGACCTTGTCCAAGGTCATTTCCATATCCTGTGAGAATCATCCTCTCAAAGTTTGTTTTTCAGCAAAAAGAATAAAGATTATTTTTAAAAATATATATTGTACATAGCAATTTTTTCCAGAAGATCTGGAGAGATGACCAGGTCACAGTCTCCAACTCTTCAGCTTGTACCACACTAGTCATTATGTTTATTTCATCTACCACCTAAATGCAAGAGGTTCTGGGTGGTACCCAGTTGTCAGAAATGGCATATCATGTATTAGGAGGGGCAGCAAAGGACACAGTATTCATTTTAAAGAACAGCAGGAGTTTATGGGAGGAATTTCATTGACTAAATCACACCCAAATTCAAAGCCAAGTAGCTACAAGTAGCCCCCCCCGAGAAAGGCAGGGCCATGTGTGACATCTCACCCAAGAGAAAAGCAATGGTGCAATGAAGAGAGAACTGGAGGTTGGACAGCATCAAAACTACTTCTTGGGTGTTCTTGGCTTCTAAAGGAGAGTTTGGGTCTCCATAATTCAATTCAGTGGACCCAATCTGTGCAAGAATTAGTGTGCTAAAGGGCATCTCTCCCTAGCTGATACATCGCTAAGAACATCCTGATGGAGGCTTTCCAAATGGCATCCTAAACTTTACAAGTAACCAGACCCATTGGCACTACACTGGTGACTTAAATGACTTTATTTTTAGATAAAAAGTCAGCAAACACTAGAACAATCTATGGATTCACGCCATAAGCCCAATGGGTGGTATCAATATGGAACCATGTCTCATCTCCCCAGAGAGATGACTCATCGGGCTCTTCAGGACAAGCAAAGCTCTAGCTGTATGGAAAAGAGTTGGTCTATGAACTGAACTGTCTAACCAAGGAACATTATAGCCAAGACTATTACGTGTGTGTGTGTGTGTGTGTGTGTGTGTGTGTGTGTGATTTCCATCTTACTCTATACAGAGAAGGAGAAGGAGCAGCAGTCCAACCAAAGGGATTCTAGCAGTTATCCTCAAAAGCCACCAAGAAAACCCTGAACTTGTTGTCACAATTAAGATACACATCTAAACTACAATCTACTTTATTTATACTTAAGTTCCCTTCAAATCTTAGCAAATAGCTCTAATAAATCTACTGGCCCATTTTATGTATACAACAACAGAATGTTTTTCACTTTGGCAGGTAGGCATAGCTTTCCTGTATTCATTCCTGTAGTCATCTTTAGATAACTTCTCTCATCTTCCACTTTCAGGATGAAGTAAAAATTCAAAGCCTGTCTCTCCAATGAGAGACATGCAGGTCACACACTACCACCACACCACACTGGAGCACGTGGGGGCAGTTGTATCAAAATTTCAACACAGTGACCCAAACACATCTAGCATGGTGCAATCTCTGAGTCATCTCTGGTTAGAAACTATTGCTGAGAAAAAAAACAAAAATAATAATAATGTTGTCTGCTTTACTCTAATAAGTTATTCAACTTCTCGAAACTGTTTATTCTCTTGTTACAATATAGGCAAAACACTTGCTTCACAGGTTTTTTATAAGAGTTAACAGAAGAAAAAAAAAAGAAAAGAAAAATTGTTCATGACTAAAGTTAACTCTGTTCCTGATTAGTTTTCTGGTATTCTCATTCTCAGAAGCAACTCTTCTGTGATGGCTACTCTTGGTTGTCAACTTGACTATGTCTGGAATTAACTAAAACCCACGTGGCTGGGAGCACCTGTGAGGGACCTTCCTTCATTAAACTGTTTGAAGTGAAAATACCCACTGTTAATTTGGATCTTTTGAGGTGGGAAGACTCACCTTTAATCTGGGCCACACTGTCTGCTGGCAGCCTACAGAAAGGACATGGAAGGACGAAGCTTGTCTCTCTTTGCCTGCTTGCTCTCACTGGAAAGTCCATTCCTTCACCGGATTAGAGCCTACTGCTTTGAGATTCCAACATAAACTGAAGACCAGCAGAGACATGCAGCCTCCTGGACTGAACAACTACAGAATTCTTGGACTTTCCATTGGTAGACAGTCATTGTTGGACCAGCTAGACTACAGCCTGTAAATTACTCTAATAAATCCCTTCTACATCTGTATAGATTCATTCTATCAGTTCTGTTACTCTAGAGAACTATGACTAATACATCCACCCAGCTTTAGTAGCATTTCATCAGTAATAAAAAGACTACCTCTAAGTCATCAATAAATGAATAAATAGAAAGATTCTGCTAACTCTTTTTGGACTTTTAACTGATCTATTGCTATTAAGAATTGATTCTAGAATGTTCCTTAAGAGCTCTTCTGCATGATTGCCAGAAGTTTCAGAATGCCCATACCTGTGAAGGCTTCATAAATGTTCCCCACTCCCTTTTATTCAACAAAGCGTCTCTACCACTGGTGACCTCAAGTCCTAGGATCTAGTACAACAACCTTTATGATAAAATGGCGATTGCAGTTTGAGTTTTTCTATCTGGCCCAGGTTAATCTCCAGTCCTGCTGTAAAGAAATGCTTCTTTTAAGTGCTGTGAATTCTACTTGGAATGTTCTTCTCTGTTTTGCTGCTTTATAAACTCATTCACCATCGTCTTTGGTTCTCTCTGCACCTGTACATTCCCACGAAGCAAAGGTTCCCTTCGTGCGTGTCCCTCCGACCTTCAGGAACCCACTTTTCAGACGCATTTGAACAACCTTTGCTCTACTCTATATACTATTTATACCCTGAATCTTGCTATATAGCAGACATTCGATACTGAGTGAGAACATCATAAGCCAATTAAAATACATTAACAAAAAGTTCCTGATTTTCAGATGACTCCTAACAATTTACATGTAAGGTTATATGTCTGTGGTTAAGTCTTGAGATCCCCAAACTTCTCTGTAAGAAACAGGACTATGGTAAACTTTCCATTTAACACACTTACTTAATTTAGTCTGGGTTATAAAGTCATGACTAAGGATGTGACTACCAAGCACAGTTTGGAATAACATTATTGTCATTGTTTTGTTCATAAGCGTCATTAAGTGGCCCTTTTGCAGAGGCTTCCAGGTTGCCTGCCTGTCAAGTAGGACAATCCACAATGACAAGGACTCCATAGCAGTCTGTAGACCCTTCCTGTATTTTATAAAGAGCACTTCAAATGCTCTTTATAAAGAAAATCTGCTAGTGTCCCAAAGCTCCTGAGAGTGAAATGCTAGAGTTAGAAGCTGCCTGAAGCTCACTTACACACTGAAGTTATTAATCCCCTTCTTATATGTTTGATATAAGCCGTAGGGCACTTGGGAGGGTGATCCAATTACCCAATTCAGAGAATTGCCCTTTTCTTTCAACCAAGTTCAGAGCTCTGAATTTTTGTTCCACCAATGACTTTTTGTTTCAGTCAAACAAGGTCAAGGAAGAGGCCAATATCTGCCAAGGCCAACAGGGGTTTCATTTACATGCCCACTAATTCCAGCAACATAAGAACCTCTTGAGAGCATTAAACTGGGGTGGGGGACAACAGGCCTGTTATTTATTTACCAGCTCTCAATGCCACGACTGCCATTTCCTTGCAGTTCAACATTTTAGGTTACCATTTTGGATTTGACGAGTCTTTTGTATATCTGGAAGCTGTGGTGGGATGTGTCAACAGGCAAAAAGCTGGGAGGGTGTGGAGAGGTGATCCTCAGAGGAAGGCTGCTTGAATCTAGGGGCACAAGGCAAATTATGCACAGTCTGCATTTCCTGGAAGTCAGACTTTTTAAAGCCGACTAGAGGTTAGGGGTTTTCTTTCACTACCTATCATCTGTCACAGATTTTATTATTTTGTTTGTTTGTTTGTTTTTACTTATTTGTTTTGAGTGCTGTTTATTTTAGAATTAACACAAAGTCAGAGTCAGTATATCTTTTTGTTCCCATCATGGCCAGAAAGAGGACAGTCTGGCTAATGTCTTATCATTGTGAGAAAGAGACATAGGGTATCTTTTGGAGTCGACCATAGGACATTTATTACTTGACGATGATGAACATTACTTCAGTTTAGAATAAGGATTAAACTAATGGTGCAGGGGTTGGAGATTTGACTCAGCAGTTAGGACCACTGGCTGCTGTACCAGAGGGCCCTGGTTCATTTCCCCCCAATGGCAGCTCACAACTGCATGTAACTTCAGTTTCAGGGGACAGGATACTCTCACACAGACATATATGCAACAAAACAATGAACATAAAATAAAAATAAGTAATAAATTAAAAAACAAACCAATGGTGCAGAGAAAGAAAACAGTATGTCAGTGCATTTGTCAAAACTTCTAGGGTACCTACTTCAGAATCTAGAAGAATTAAAATGATATAGAAGTCAAGAATGAATCTTGGAGATGTTCATTGAACTCAAAGATAACTAATTTTTTAAAATGTACCACAAAGTGGTATCAGTCTCTGAACTGCTATATGTTTACAAGAGCATAATCAATGGTCACATCTGAAAGACTCACCTTCCTGTATATTTCACAAAAATATTCAAAATGTTATTGAAAGAAAGTCAGGAAATTAAGAGGCATTAATAAGGTATAATTAATAAAATGTAAGAAAAGTATTATTTCCTAGTGTCCAGGTCAGAAAGCCAATAGTTTTTGAGCTTGGTAGAAGTGATAAAATTTTATACATAGGAGTATTAAAGAAATCAAAGGAAGAAAACATCATGGCCTTAAAGCAAAACTTACTGATGTAGTTAACTAAGAGATGATTTTTTTTAATTTCATGTGCTTTGGTATTTTGTCTGCATGTATGTCTGTATGATGATATCACATCCCCTGGAACTGGAGTTACAGGTAGCCGTGAGCTGCTGTGTGGATGCTGTAAATTGAACCCGGGTCCTCTGGAAGAACAGCCAGTGCTCTTGACTACTGAGCCATCTCCCCAGCCCCACAAGAGACAATTTTTGATGTGCACTACTGATGGCTTGGATCAAGACTGTCTTAATTGCCTTTTTTTTTTTAAAAGAACTTCTAGACCACACTGTTTAGCTAATGGCCTGGAAAGTAAAGCATCTTAGTTATAATCTGAAGTCGTGGCTTTAGTTGATTTGGTGGTGTTAGGAACTACTTTCAACTGTCTAACCTCAGTCTCTCCAGATGAAATATCAAGATTGCATGGCACAGCCTGGTCTACCTCGGGTACTCATGCAGGCTCCATGGTTAAATTATGCTCCATTAGAAGGCCTGAAACACAGGAGGAAGCCCCATGAGACAAATGGACAGCTCTGTGTTAGCAGAACTATAGAGTGTGGGTAGAGCACTCATCTTTTCTTATCACAGGGCTGGACCAGGCACGGAGCCTGACTTCTCTGTTTCCTACACAAGCCTCCTTCCTGGGCATTCCCCAGCAGCTCTAGGGTGTTCTGAGGTGGCATACAAGGCCTGCCTTCCTCTCGATTCACTTTCTATATTCCCTTTGCTAGGAATCCCAGCCCCTCCCCTCTTATCCCCTTTCAAGCACTTTCTTCAGACTCAGGACGGGGTGAAAAATGTGAAGGAACACATTTCTGAAGTCCTGCTGAGCTCCCTCACCAAAGAGGGCAACTGGAGGCCGGGACAGGAGATGTAGGCATCGATCGCCGTTCTGCCCCCAGCACCTGCCAATTCCTGCCTGAAACTATCCAAAGAATGCTGGGCTCCAGGGATCATGAGTGCAAAAGAGGGTAACTGAGAGAAGGGAAAACACAGTTCTGGTCTCAAAGCGGCAATAAAAATAAAATTAAACCCTCTCTCACACACATAGGATTCTTTATGTCCTCAATTGAAGTCGCCTGAGTACTTCACACTGGAACTATGGGCAAGAGGATTTTCTGAAAAAACAAACCACACACACAACAGACCTTACTGCTCCCTTGAAGGGGCTTATTAAAGGCAAACAAGGCCTCCCATCATTCCTGTGAGAGACCATTGTCCCCCTTGTTGCCACAGCGCCCTGTGAGGCTGTGGGAAACAAATGACCTCAGAGGCTCTGCAGTGTGTGTCACTGCAAAAGAAAAGAGAATCTAGGGGGTTGGGGGGTAGGGGGAAGGGAGCTGCTGGCTTGCAGAGCCCTCCACAGCCCGGCAGTCCTCCAATGATATCCCTCCAGGCACAGCAGGAAGGAGGCTTGTGGGCCCCAGGAGTCTCTATCCCGCCTGTAACGGGATTAGGCTTCCCTTCTCAGCAGCAAAGCGTCCTTCTGGATGTCCTGCTGCTCACACTGGGCACTCTGGACTCTAATTGGTCCCCCCCACAAAATGCCTGGTGGCTGCCTGTGTCGTACTCAGTTTCATGCGTGTCCTGCGTCAGCAGAAGGCTCTTCTGAAGCCAGGGAGAGTGGTTGTGAGCAAGGGGAGAGGATGAGGGGGTAAGCCGGGGATGGGCGAGGGACATATAAACAAGAGCAATTCCGAGACCAGGAAGGTGGGGGAGGGGGGAGAGAGAAGGGATGATGGCAAAGCAATGCTAAGATAAATATTCAGCAGGCTAGAGAAGGCAGCTCATTGTGGCCTTGCTCTCCCTTGGAACTTGTGTGAGAAAGCAAGCATACAGCCTAGTCAGAAGTGTACCTTCCCATGGACCAGTCTCTGTCATTGGTTCTAACACACTGTTCTCCCTGTGTGTCTGTGACACTGAATTCCCAGCTCACCAGGGCACATAGACATAGCGGATGATGTGCACACACTCTCCAGACACTCCCCACAAGTCTTGACTTCAGGGTTCCCTCAAAGGAGAAACTGTATTTGAGTATTCCACTTTACTTTCAGAAGTGGTGCCAGGCCCAGCCCTATTGCTTGAACTACAGGGTGACATTGGCCAATGGGTGGAGGACAAAACTAGGGAGATGCCAGAGTTCACACACTTCAGGGAAGTACAGCCATCAGACATCTGAAGATACTTCTGTTTCTATTCTTGACCTAACCTACAACATGCAAACAGGAACAAAAGTTAACTTCATATATAGTAACATTTATGGTTTATATGTGAAATTCTTATATACATGCCATTTCTGTGGACATGCATATATACAGGTTTATGCATTTTTCCTAACCATTGATTATTTGTGTTACCTCATCAAACATTTTCTCTATGTACAATACCAGTTTCCTAAGTATTAAGAGTTAGAAAAAATTGTTTCATTCATAGGGTTTGTTTTGGCCTCTCTGAAACATGGAGATGTGGTGTTCTTCAGTGGAGAGTAACAAAAGTGCTAGGTTTGTTGACTAGGAAAAATCTTTCCTTTAGGAGCAGCCTCACTGTGGTAATGTAGGTTTTCATGCCAAATTTGCAACTGGGAAATACTAGTTTGGGAGAAACTGGGTTTGGTGCAAAAAGGTT